GCCCCTCAAGGGCCTGCTGGGAGTGAGAGGCCCAAAACTGCCCCCAGGATTCAAGGGGCAGCCTCCCCAGTGCCCATTCCAGAGAAACAATCTGTGCCCTGCTCCTTCTGGCCACACAATTTCATCCCCCTGCTTCTCCACCATCTCTTCCATGCTCTGCAGGGCCCTCGGCAGCCGGAGCAGCTCGTTGTGCTCTCGTTGTGCCCCTCCCCATACCCCTCCCCCTGCACCCCCAGCCCAGGGCAGGGCTCGGGGCACAGGCTGTTGCCAACGAGACGTTTCCCTGCGCTTGGCAGCACCTTTTATTCTCCCCAGACTCCTGCCCAGGGCGTGCAGCACTCTCTTTTGTGTGCAGTGTGCTGCCGAGTAGAACGTCAGACCCGTAGAGCTTTCCAGCCAGGGGCTGCCAGTTCTTTTTGGGTGGCATTGTTGCCCCTCCTGGCGTGTGTGTGCCTTGCATTGCTCTCGCCTCACTGAGCTCCCCCCCTCGAGGAGACACGAGGGACTTTTATCTCAGCAGGAGCAGCCTCTCCCTCCTCCCCACCACCTTCTGTTACGCTTGCTGATCCCAGTCGGTCACGTAAACTTGGATTAACCTCGAGGAGCTAACACCAGATTTGCCCTGAGTGGGGTGACCCAAATAAAGGTGAAGGTACAGGAGGCACCCTGCAAGTAACGGGCACAGAGAAGGTCTAGTGACCAAAGCCCTGGCCTGGGACAAGGGCCAAACCTTTCCTCCTGGTTTATTCTCTATGACAAGCTGTCGAGTGAGCCTGGGGTGGGGTTTATCTCTTGTAGGTGGCTAACCTGAGCAGTGAATCCAGGCTCAGAGTGGCTTTGAGTGGCCCCGTGGGCTGGCGTAGGTGAGGTCTATGTGCTGGTGCTTCATGTCATGTGCAAAGATGCAGGTTGGCCAGTGACACCTTGGCTTTACCCCTGGGTCCTGGCTTCTCCTCCTCCTTTCCTGCCGAGTCCCAGAGCCCTGCTAGCAGGACATCTCTGCCTCTCCAAGTAGGAGGAGCTCATTCCACCCTCCCAGGCACGAGGGGTGCCAGCTTTTGGGTTTTCATCATGCTTCTTGATAGGTGACGACACTTTGCAGCCCTTCCACTCTCCTGACAGAGCAGGCATGGGGCCAGGTTGACTCGTGTCTCTCTGTAGCTTTGGCCAGCGTCCCTGCTGGGGCTTTATTTACAGCATGTCCATGGTCTTCCTTGGCTGCTGTCCCTCTCCTGCACAGCTACTGCTCTTCCAACGCCCTCTTTGCCTGTTCTCCCTCTGCCTTCTCACACCCACGCTCCCCTCCCTGCTCTCTGCATGCCAGTGTGATGGTCCCTTGGTGGTTCAG